AGTTAGATTGGCCCTTTGGGCTCCCTTGTCAGGCAGTGAATAGACGTTCTCCCCTCTCCTCGGGAGGACAAGGATTAAAGGAAGACAACATGGAAAAGAGATTGAAACCCATGGGAACTGGGGATGGAGACCATGAACTTCAGAGATGTTTTTAGGAGGTTCCAGATCTCAGCTCAGCAGATTCTTCAGTCTAACTTAATCATCTGAGTAACAGTCTCATCTTCTTAATTATTCAGTGTCCCATCTCTTAGAGTGGGGTTGAGACTGGAAATTGCCTCTAGTGACCATCAAGTCCAGCCCCAGCAGGGTGGTCAGGGCCACCTCCAGCTGGATTTTGAACCATTTCCATGGCTCTCCCCTGGATTCAGTGCATCCCTGTCCTTCTTGTACTGAGAAGTTTGCTTTTTAGAAGTGAAGTGCATTTATCACCTTTCATCCACAGGAAAAAAACCCTTCCCAAATGTCTTCAAATCCCTAACACGATTTCACCTGTAAAATGATAAAAGCTACTTCAATTTGCCACTCTAACAGTGCCTTCACCCACCCTATATTTTGCTTCCAGAAGTGGTTACTGTCAGGCATATACACACAACAAGGATTTTTATATTTTAATAGCAAGGCAACAAAGAAATTCACTTAATGACAAGTTCTTGGACTGATGCATTATTCATTTTGTTATCTGACAGCAGAACAAAACTGTAGCCATAAATATATAATGTTACACACCACTTTTAATGTCGTTCACATTTATGGAGTAATTGGCTGTCTTCTACATTATCCTTTCTTTAGTCACTTCTTTTTTAAGGGAGTGTCATGAAATGCAGCTTGTGACATCAAAGGTGTGTTTATTCAGGAACAGGGACAGCAACAGGCCTGGATAAACCCAGGAATCTCAATCTCTGTTTCTGAAAACTTTTTTTAGTCTCTGTAATGATTTTAGAGGTGTCTTTGCACCATTTTCCTCACATACAGATTGCTTTTTTGCTCCTTCGATTAACTATGATTAACACGAGTTTTTAAATCTTCAGGAACAAAAGGAGACAAGGCGAGAAGGAGGACCTGTGAGAAGGCTACAGAACAGATCCAAAGGAAACAGGGATGGATTCAGGCCGGTTGGACAATGTGTTTGCATGAAGGGTCCATCTAGGAGCTCCCCTCCTACAACCACAGAATCCTGGAATGCTTGGGGATGGAGGGGACACCTTCCACTCCCTGTCTTCCCCACATAACAAAACCTATTCCTTCCACAATCCTGCCACCAGAGCTGCTACAAATCCTCCTGCTTTTTCCCATCCCAAACACACGAGTGTCATGGACATAACAGGGAATTTCACCGTGCCAGACAAATGCAGCTCAACTGCCAAACCCAACACTGAATCACTGTCTGAGCAGTGATTAAACTAGAACAATGTAGATACCCAGAGCCTGCCTTTAATCATTCCCCCAGCCCTGTGTTAATTAGCTAGGCTGCAGCAACCACTGACATGAGCCTGTATGAGAATAAGAAGTAAAACTGTATTAAAAATTCAGTAAATTATACAACACTCTTCCTGATCAAAATATTCTGAAATATTCATGTCTGGCTTTCCAGGACCTAAAGGGGGCTTGAAAAGAGGCTGGAGGGGCACTTTTCACAAGGGCCTGGAGTGATGGGACAAGAGGGAATGGCCTTGAGAGGAAGCTGGGCAGGGTTAGATGGGGTATTAGGGAAAAATCCTTCCCTGGGATGGTGGGCAGACCCTGGCACAGGGTACCCAGAGGAGCTGTGGCTGCCCCTGGATCCCTGGAAGTGCCCAAGGCCAGGCTGGATGGAGCTTGGATCAACCTGGAACACTGGAAGCTGTCTCTGCCCATGGCAGGGGTGGGATGGGATGAGTTTAAAGGTACTTCCAACCCCAACCATTCTATGTTTCTAAAGGGACAAAGATCCCTAGAAAGATCCTAGGATTGGTAATTAGAATTCTTTGTATTCTTTGCAGTAAATCTGTCTTTACTGATCAGATTAAAATGTGTTTAAGCGAGCAGGTGGATGCTGGTGCTGCACTGGGAAGGTCTCACCATGCTGTTCCCGCAGGTCAGAGGCTGAACCTGCCCCTCTGCCCAGCCCTGGAGGGCACATCTGGGCCCGGGGAGCAGATGGCCGGCTGTGGGCACTTCCAGCCTTCCCCAGGCTGGGATTCAGGGATTAAATCCCAGCCTCGCGGGGTGCTGGGGCTCCCGGCGGCTCCCGGCCCTCAGGCGGGCTGAGGCCTCAGCGCCGCCCGCCCGCAGGGGGCGCCCCGGGCCCGCGCTCTGAGGCGATGGCGGCGGGCGGGAAGGGCAGGGCCGGGGCTGAGGGGATGGCGCTGCTCCGGTCATCCCGGCTATCCCGGGCATCCCAGCTATCCCGGGCATCCCGGTTATCCCGGCTATCCCGCTTTTCCCGGTGCTCCTCTCTCTCGAGGCGAGCCCGCCGGCTGCCGGAGCAGCAGCCGCAGCCCTGCGGATCCGTGCCGGTCCCGCTCGGCTCCGTGTCCCCCGCTCCCGGGGCCGCTCCCGACGCCGTTCCCGGCTGTTATTTCCCTGTCCTGCTTCTCCCGTTCCCGTGGCTCCCCCGAGGACCCGCGGGCGATCCCCGGCTCCGCAGGGAAAAGGGGAACGGCAGCCCCGGGACCCCGTTCCCGCAGGGATGCGGCTCCCCGGGATGGGATGCTGGGCTCTCCAGAAAGGCACTTCCTTCTCTTCTGGTGTTTGGTTTACCATTGTTAATAAAACCATAAAATCCAAGAATCGAAGAAGCCGGACTGGTTTGGTTTGGAAGGGATCGTAAAGCTCATCCCATTCCAGCCCTGCCATGGGCAGGGACACCTTCCGCTATCCCAGGTTAAGATAAACTGGGACTGTTCTCTGGGAACTGGCCTTGGTTTCCAGGTGAAATCTGGCCAAGCAGAATTCACAACCAGGAGTGTCTAAAATGCTTTCAGACAACAGTTTAAACCAAAACCCAGTGACCAGGTTAATACCGGGACATTCTTGCAGAATCCCTGGTTACTCCACAGCGCGGCTCCACCTTTTCCTTCCCCAGCAGGAATTAACCGGTGAACGCTGTAAAACTGAACCCCTTTTCGGGGCTTGAGCTGTTCTTATCTGCGGTTTAAACACCTTGTACAGCAGCCAAACACACAGCTGACATCCTCACACATCACTCGCCGTGCTGGTTATTTGGCATCCGGAGACTGTGGCACATCTCCCAAATCCCAGGGAAAAGCTTCCTTGTCTGAGCTGCTCCTAAACACGTGGATTTCACTTCAAAACCATTGTCAATTTGTTTACTCACCCCAGAGTAAGATATTAAAATGAGAAAAAGTCCAAACAAGAGGCTCAGGTTATTGATTCCTTGTTCCTAAATACCTTGGACCGTAACAGTGTTTGTAGCTCGACCTCTGCAGAAAGAGATGATGCCAAGGGTCCAAGGTCACACCTTCACTGGAATTTTTCCATATGGAAGTAACCAGTATTTGAGCAGCAATCTAAGAAAGAATATGAGGTTACAGGCAAAGAATTGTTATAGGAACATAAACCATTTTAATGTAATTTTATAATTTGAGAGTTGGAACTGGATGATCTTTAAGATCCCTTCCAACACAAACTATTCTCATGCTTTTCTCATCACTAACAACTTCAATACTACAGGAAGCAAAGAAATGTTCTGGCAGTCTCCTTATCCTCTTTTCATGTGGAGTTCCTGGGTTTGCTCTTCCTGGGACAGGACATTTTGCCAGAGATTTAAGAAAAATAGCATTTTTTTTTTAATACTAAAATTATAGTCTCAGAGACTGGCAACACAAATATTCTGCTGCATATATATTGAATAATAAAACCCCCAAAAATCAAATTTAAATACCGTGTCCTGTTTTAGTGGGTCTGCTCAGCTGCACAGTGCCAGAATGGTATAAAAAAATACTTGAAATACTACCTGCAACATTTTTTTTAACTTTAAAAGCTTTTTTCAAAGACGGCTATGAAGTCTAATAACTTTCCCAGTATAAGCAGAATAAACTGAATATATCCTTCAGGCTCAGGTGATTTCTCAGTCTATAAATGTACATTGTATTTTTATTGTTTAATTGGTTTAGGTCCAATGATGACAGTTCTCTGGAGAGGCAGCCAATTCCTGATGGAAACTTGTTCCAGCATTTAAAGCCACAAAACCCTGAAGTCTCATGGAAAGAAAAAGGAGTTTCTGGCCAATGAGCAAAAAGAGTCCTAATTTTACAGAGAATGATGCTCTGTGAAAACAAATTTTGAAACTTTTTCAAGATTTGAATAATTTGGTGCATAATGGTGGCATAATTTAGGGAGTTTTGGGGGCAGGATCACCCTACATTTGCCTTCTGCAAGTTCTTTATGCTTCCCATGTTTCCTGTGGAGTGTTAAATAACACAAACTGTTTGACACTGTGTTGAGTCACTGATCAGGCTGGATGGATTTTAGTGACTTTAAAACTCACCTGGAATATGAATCATAACTTCTTGTTCATAGCATTATCTCCAAATTAATTGCATGGAACCAACATATAGATAAACATTTTATATAAATATATATTTTTTAAGAGTGAGCAGAATATTCAGAATCTGGGTAAGTAACTCTAAGGAAAATACTGTGTCTTTATTAGCATCACAATGAACATTAAAAATCAGAGATCTGGTCTTAAATTCCAATAAATTCCCTGCTTTAGCTCATCCCGCAGCAGATTCCTGACCCCTCAGTGTCACTGACCGCCTCATCCACCACGAGCTTGGACTCAAATGCTGCAGTGATAAATTTGGAGTGGATAAATATTGGATCCACAAAGTATTTTTCTTTCTTGGAAGTCCAGCTTGTGTCTGCAAGCAGCGAACAGGAGCGAGCATTGTGTGGGTAATGCCTGGTTCACAGTGGCTGTGTTTATTCCCTGGAATTTGGCAGGTTCCTGTGGGAGCTGCTGCATCCGTCTGGATGTGCAGGGCTTTGCACAGAGGATGCTCAGCATCCCTAACCGGATTTGGGGATTTGCACGGGGTGGGAACAGAGGCAGAAATCCCCTCGTGGGATTGGATCTCCGTGCAGGAGTGATGGCTCCTCAGCACCTCCCCAGCAGATTGGGCAGGAATGGAGCGCCCTGCACTTGGCACCTCCTGGAAGAGTGTGCCAGGGATGTGTGGGAGTGCTGGAGCCTTGTCACAGGGCTCACTTCCATTGTCTGCACACTGCCTGCTGCACTCCCCTAAGTTGAAAGTCTTAAGCAGTTCTCAGATTCAAACATGAGTAATCTTGCCTGAAGCCTTTTGCAAAAGCTGCCTTTTCCTCTTTTTTTCTTTTTTTTTTTTTTTAATTTTATCTTGGATATGTTCCTCTATCTGCATAATACAGATAGAATAATATGCCAGAGAAGCATGTTGTTCATGTTTGCAAAAATATTTGGTGGTTGACAAATGAGCTTGATGTACTGTGCTGTTGTACTGACTTGACACTAATCTCTGCCACTTAGAGCAAATGAGAATAAATCACCTCTCCTCTCTTATCTTCTCCACCCCGAGTTGTGTGTGCACTTGCAGCTCAAGCTGGCTCAAGGTTTATTTCAATCCATGCTTCCCCACCAATCCTGTCCTGCCAGTTCAGTTTGGGTTGGGAAAAGCTCAGGAGCAGCCCTGGAGTTGGCACTCACACTGAACCACTTGGCCACTGTGTTCAGGTTTCAGACATGCAGGTAGGAGATGACAAGGGAAAAGGGACAGTCATCTCAGCAGCTAAAAATGCCTGGAAAAAAAAAAAGGGATTGACTTCAAAGTCTGTCCCCATAAAGGGGGATATAATTTACAGGCCTGGTAGAAGGGTGCTGGAAATCGAGTGAAATAAAACCACGCTTGCTCAGCTGTCGAACTGCAGAAACGTGAGCTGAAATATTAATTGCAGAGCTTTACATTAAAACTGTCATGTTTGTGAGCATGGAATTCAGCAAGGTATGTCCAGTGGGCTCAGCTTTGGGATTGCTCCCTGGTCCTCACTGTCAGTCTGAATCTCAGCTCTCCAGTTTAGGAGTTTAAGTGGAGCTGTGAACTCCCTGTCCATTCTGAGCCCTTCTGTGTTTAACAGAGGGTTCTCTCTCTTCTGCCATCTATAAACCAAGTCATAATTGCCCAAATATTTACACTGGTGTTTATTTCTGGCAGTGATTTGGTGTTTGTCATTCACATTATGACTGTGAAGCAACATTTCTGTGCAGTTGAGGTATTTCAAATTATTTGCCTACTGAACAAGGAAATGTTTCATTTCTTTCAGATTGTCACTGCTGCTTATTATGTGAGCAAGGACCTAATTATGATTTCACAATTTGTTTACTGTATGCTCAGGAGTCAGAAGGTAACAAAATGTAAGTTTTTACAACAATAAAATGTTCTCTGTGATGTAGCACAGTCTTTATTGAGAGATTTTCCTGCCTCTAAATACATTTTTATTTCAGAGGGATACAAAAATAGAGTGTACAAATCCTGGAGTTCTGAGACCTGTAGCCTCCAGTTTTCCCTTCCTTCTCATTTCTGACCCACACACATCTGTGAATATTTTCTGTGGAGTACTTTCAGTTGATATAGACATAAAAAATGCAATAGGCATTTGGGATCTGGTTCCATATTTTAACTGATTCCATGGTTTTTGTGGAAATATGTGGGAGTTGAAACCAAGCCTCATTTCTTTGTGGGGTTCAGTTGGTTTCCTCCCCGTTGATTGAAAGTGGGCTTTATTTGCTTATAGCATAAAACATGTTGACATCTTCATGTGTTCTGTTTCAATATATGCATTTAAAAAAAACCATATTCCAGGGAAATGAAATTACTGGAGTTGTGCTTGAGCAAACCTTGGCAGTGGCTGGGATGTTCAGCCTGCCCAAGGACTACTGTTTTGTCTGAAATGGAAGACTGCTCTCTTCATATTGTATCAAATCAAACCCATTAACTCATCAATTAAAAAAAAAAAAAATAGGAAAGAAAATCCATGGTACAGCAGAGGTAACAAAAAGCTGAAGTAAACCAGATGCCTCCCCACAGACTAAATGGGGGTGAAGCAGATTCAGTATGGAAATGATAATAATAAACCTGGAGATAGGGCAATGCTGAGGGATTTCCTTCCTGCTGCCTCCTCTGGAAACAAACCCAGGCTTTGCAGCACAGAACTGCCACTGCCTGCTCCAAAATGATCCAAGCATCAATATCTCACTGAGATTTTCACTTTTCACGTTCCAAATATCCTCGATTTTACAGTTTATCACCAAGATGTGTGGAAAGAAAGTTACATTCTATTCTGTTCATCAGGTTTGTTTATTAGCTGTTATTTAATCATTAATAAGACATCATTCATAATTGTAATAGAAGAGAGAAGGTGAGAATGAATTTCCTGTCAGGAGCAATGTCCACCAAGTTGTTCCTCAGCAGTTCCTGCACTGCCACCCTCAGCACTGCAGCAGAGAGCAGGGGTGGGCACAGAGCCCAGAAAAAAGAGGTGGAACTTCCACTGCTGCCAAGAAAAAGAGACATGAAATTCTACCTTTACATTTGCATATTTGTACTGCAAACAGAAAGTGACCTCAAATCAACAGCAGATGTTATTTTTCAGCTAATTTGTTTGTGTGTCATTCCAGGCAGCCCCAGCCTGAGGAATTTGGGCACAGCCTGGATTGTGGGGTGTGGAGCTCTGAGTGTCACTGCCCTCTGTCAGCTGCTCCTCAGGAACCAGCAGCACAACCCAGCAATCCCAAGGAATAATGTCAATTCTTACCTGTTCCCATTTAAAAAAAAAAAAAAAATCAACAAAATCCCAGCCAGATGTGTATTGAAAAAGTTTTCCTCCTTTAAAAAATCCTGGTGGATTTTTAAACAAGGATTTAGCAATCATGTATGTGGATGTTTTTCCCACTCATCCCCAAAATAAAGAAGTTATAAAATTGCTTCTTTCAGCAGCTTGCCGTGTCCTTTGGGCCCTGAGGATTCGCTGCTCTGAACTAACAGAACATAAATGTTGTGTCTCTGCCTGTGGGAAATGCTGTAAACATCCACGTGGAGACCACAAAAAAAATAAAACAAAATCAATAAAAGTGGAAAATCACCATTGTAGCTGCAGGAAAGTTCACAGCCCATTCCAGCAGTTTGGTGGCCTTCCTGCTAATGCCAGGGAAATAATTGTAATCCAGCAGCACAGCCCAGCAGGGAGGCAGCTTATTTTCAAAACACAGCCAGAGTGAGAAAACCAGCAACCCTTACACTGTGAAAAATGAGTATTTTGCTTTCTCCAGACAAGATGATTCATTATTTTTTATTTTTTCGCGGCTCGAGCTACAGTTTTTAGTTTTGGTTTGAGTTATTGTGCCCAGGCTTTTTTAGCAGGAGGACTGGAGTGATATCAGTGTCATATCCCAAAGCCTGGCCCCAGTTTTGATCTGCATTGTTGTGAGATGAAGATTAAACCCTTCCCAGCCCTCTCTGGTCATCTGAAGAGCAGCACTGCTCTGCCTGAAAGGAGTTCTGTCCACAAACTCAGCCTGTGGTCCCTCAGTTTAATCCTCTGAAATGCCTCAGAGCGTTCTTGCCAAAATCCATGTGCTTTTCTTTTCCAGAACTCTCCTGATCTGATTGAAATGCCAGGTTTCATTTGTGGCTGTGTGTCCTGGGCAGCAGATTCCCCCAGCTCCATAAAAACGTGAGTGGCTTTTTGGCTCTTGTTTATTTGATTTTCTGTTCCTTCCAGTGTTGGATCGTCCCTCACACCGAGCCCTCCTCAACTCAAACCTTCTAAAGTTCATTTTTGTGACTGAAAAAAATGGGATATTTTTCTCATTCAGAGAAGGATGATGAGGATTTTAGGAAAATGCTGGTCTTTGATTGCTGGACAAGGATTGATTGGCAGGGGAAGGGAATATTTATAGCTGGATTTATCAGCAGAAATCTGTTTTGTATGATTGTTGTCATGAGCAAGTGGCACCCCCCTTTTCTTTCCCCAAACTATTCCATCATGGGAGTAAAAGTCAGAATTAGAGGCAAATTAGTTTTAAATCTTATCCCCTTTTCACCAAGGTGCCATTACCTTTCTCCACAGCCTCTTCACTATCATTATATTCAAAAATACCCAACAAACACATCAAAAGACCAGAAGATTTTACTTTGTCAATTATACACAGGCATTTTAATTGGTTATAGAAATGATTCATTCATTTCCAAGCCTGTTGATATTCCCTCTCTACCTGGAATGCCACAGTATTTTCAAAAACATCTGCTAAATTGAGTGCTACAGCAAGAGTTTCCTTAAAAACCCTTTACCACTGGGGAGCAGATTATCCTGCTGTTTGCACTGCCACAAAAATGGCATTAATCAGAAATTTAAACACTGTAACAGTTCCTGAATTTTCAGTGACTTGTGCTGAAACTCAGCAATTCAGAGCCCCAGGAAGAGATGGACAAGAATGACTGAAAGTCTCTGAATGGGTTATACCCAAATTATCTCTAACTGGCTACTGTGGGGTACATTTTAACATTTCTTTGTATTTCTAAAAGTGTTATTTTAATAATTTGTGTATAAGATTTGTGTTTGGTTCCAGAGAGGATGCACAGAAGGAGCCTTTTACCTTCTCTTTGCCTTGGTCATGATGGGAAACTGCACCTGTGGACTGAGCCTTGTTCTAAAGATGCCAAAACCTGAATCCTCCTGGGTGCTCTGCTTTGTTCACCTCCTTCCCTGGCTCATTGGGAGCTTTGGAGTTTTGTTCCTTGACATTTTTTTATCATCTTCCTGTTACAGCTAAAGATTCAGGGTAGGCTTGTTAATAAATAGATCAGAAATGAAGTGGATTTTTTTTTAAAATCACTTTTTTGCTAACCTGCTAATAAAATCTTCCTGAACAATAATTTGTACCCATTCTATAATGATAACTCTTACAAGGATAGCAAATTTATAGAAAATACCAATATTAAAGCTACTTTGAAGAGGTTAATTTATAACTTGGAGATGATAAGTAGACACTAAAAGTTGTCCCCATCATGCTGGGGAGTTTTTATATTTAATATATTCTTACCCACTGTAGTAGTTATTGTTAGCTGTGTTCTTTCTAGGTGGAGCATTGGCATTTTGTGCCCAAGAAATGAAAAGCAAAATCTTTGGAGAAACTTTTGTACCTTGGCTTTAAACACCTGGTGGACAGGAATGGATTGGGACTGTGCTGTACAGTCACCTGTCCTCTTACCAGAGCTTGGATTTGCACTTAAAAGAGTATAAAAAGAAGATTTTCTGATTTTTTTTTCTGTAGGAAGAATTATAGGTTTGTGTGTGAAAACATTTTGGTGCTTAACTCCATGAAGTGGAGCCATAAACCAGGATGGGGCAAGGAGGGATTCCAATCATTTTCTGTTAATCCATTCCAGATCAAAAGCAAGTTCTTCACCAGATTTACCTGGAACTCTTCCAGGAGTTCTGATTCCCAGAAGTTCTGATTCCAGTCGGTGTTGTCTTTCTGATTAAAGGAATTTCAGCAGGCCCTGCAATCAGAGGAGTGACCCGAGAGCCCTGGCCTCGGGATGGGCCCTGAAATTCCTGCCTCATTCCCAAGCCCTGGATGGTGAGCTGGTAAAACCTCCTGCACTACAGAACACAATCCCTCACTGAGGTGGGGACACTGACCTGTGGCTCCTGGCCCATCCTGAAACAAATTCTGATTTTCTCTTTTATGGGACAGTGCATTCTGTGAGCGGATTGTGGGATTCAGGGGGTTATTCCTGAATTTCTCCTGCTCCAGCCCCCAGCTGGAAGCACAAACCAGGCAGTATTTATTTACCCCCAAACCCCCAGAACTTGATTTAGACGACCCTCACAGTACATTCTGCACAGATTTGTCGATGCTTTTCTATGATAGGCTCTGAAAATCAAATTTTTATTGCCCCCAAAGCTCCCCCGCTCCACTCCCAGCCCTGGGACTGCAGTGCCAGCCTGCACGTGACATCAATTCCTGGGTTCTGGCTTGATTGGGGTCTGAATCCAATCTTGTTAATAGTCCTCCAGTTCAAATTGTATTGGAAACAGATGCTTCCAAATCAGGTTGAGGAGCTTACAGGAATCTGGTCAAGTATAAAATGTTGGTTGGGAATGGATGAAGTATTTGTAATCAAGAGAAAACAAAAGCAGACCTCCTGCTTGGAGAGCCCTGAAGGTAAGGAAGGCACAGCTTTTCAGAAGAGCTTCACTGCTGCTTCTTGCCAAGCAAGAAAATAAAAATCTGACAAATTTACCCATCACTTTAGTCCAGAAACCAAAGGGCAGGCTCACCTTGGAAAACAGGAATTAACCCCAAAAGCCCTAATTTCTAAGAGGGAGGTGTTTCATCATTGGTATTTGTGTAACAGTCTGTTTTGAGGAGAAATTGCCTAATTCCAGTCGACTTTATTCCTGATTGTGTCCAGAGTTTCATTAGGTGGAAAATAAACCCTCATTTCTCAAGGTCCAAGGCAGGATTAAGAGTCCACTCACTCTGTGTCTGCTGCACTATTCCTGTGCTTCCATCTGCCACCGACTGATCCTGGAAACAAATGGGTTCTGCTCAGGGCTGGAGCTTTAGCAGGATAACACCACCCTCACCACAAAGCTTTGCTGGCTGCACTTAAAGGGGTTTGGATGCACAAGAAATTCCCATAATTAATGGGAGTGTCCAATTGTCTGTACAGCATGAGCTGTTCCCTTTGAGAGGAGCTCCATCACCCACATTTGAATTATAAATTGGACTGAGCTTCCTTTTCCAGTCAATGTTTTCTCCCACTTTGCAGCAGGAGATGTTGGGATTCCTCGAGATATTCTGGAGCTTCTCAGCAGTGCTAAACCCAGCTTTGGATTTTAGTGGAGCTTTATGCTCTGTGCATGGCTATTTATATAATATATAAATATCTATATATTTATATGACGTTTCCCTTGTACCCAGGGCTGCAGCCCTACGTGCTTTAAAGTCCTAAATCAGTCCAGCCCTTGGTCTTGGAGCAGCACCACAAAGTGCCTCAATCTAGTGCAAGTTTTTCTGGCAAACTTCATCCTTTCCTCTTATTTCCTCCCCTGTATCCTTCCTCCCCCGTTCCCTCCAAACCCAAACAACTCTGCTTTGTGTTTCCTTCAGAAAAAAAAAAACCTTCACCGAGATCTTTTCCTTATTTTTTTTTTTTTTTTGCTTTGACATCACCCTATTGTCAGGGAATTGTGTTCAGCTCCTCCACATGTTTTCCTTTTCATTAAACAGGCTGTGGCTGGATAGGCAGAGTTTATTCAGCAAGAGCCAAGCTGCTGGACACAGACTCCTCCTGCACCTTTGGAATCTTTTCTATCCCCCCACAAAACATCAGGCTCTGAAATTTAATTACCAGGCTAAAAATAGAAGCCTGGCCTGAGCACTGAGCCAGGAGAGTTTCCCAGCCAGACATTCAACTTCTCTGCACTCCTGTAAATCCTTGGGGTTGCCTCCAGTTTTTAAACTCAGTTTTTAAATTCATCTCAGATTTTTAAATTGCCAGTACATTGTTTAATTTCATGGAACAAAATTTGCTGCAGTGGCTCAGTGGCTGTTGGAAAATTCACCCTGGAACTCACTTTGGTTGTGTCCTCCACTCTGGGCTCTCTCTTGAGCTCTGAAAGTTCCTGGCTTCAATATTTTGACAGTTTAGCATTTTATTTTTATTTTTTTTTTTAAGAGGCAATGCATTTGCTGCAAAAACATTCTGGAAATTCTCTTTGCTAAGCTGCACATAATTAATATTTAATATTTATTTACCTCCTGAGCCCTGGGGCTGTTGCCAATGTGAAGGCTCAGGGTGCTGCAGCCCTGGGGATGGCTTTTCCAACCTTCAAATTCCATGATTCTGTCATTCTGGAATCCATGGTGGCACTTCCAAGAGGTTTTCCCAGTTCACAGGGAAAAAACCTCTGTTAAAAACCAAAGTGCTTTGTACCAAGCTCAGAACTCAAGTACAAAACTCCTCAATTACCCAGCAAAACTTGTGGAGAATTGTAATTATTTTGTATTTAAAGGCTGTCTGTGCTCCAAGTCTATAATTTTCACCATCAGGAGGAAGGACAAGGACACACTTGTTAATTCTTTTGAGATGAGCAGTGTTTCAATGGGGATAAATAATTATGTCTAATTGCACAACTGGTGTTGAAGACTGCTCTAAATGTTGAGTCATTTGTTGTCTGAGTGTCAGACTGGAAATTTGACTGCCTGGAAGTTGTGCAGGAGATGAGAATTGTGCTCTGTGACCAGGCCCTGTTTAGCTATTGCAAAGAAGAGTTTTTAAATAAATTTTCATAACTTTTTCTCTCTTTTTCTCCTCTCCTTTTATACATTTGTGGGCTGATCATGAAGCTCCTCTGATTTCAGGTAACTTGATGGGACACGATGCACATTTTGGTTTTAAATGATAAAAGCTAATCAAAAATAAATTTGTTTTTAAATAATAAACTAATGAATTGTATTTAAATTCCAAAGCCAAAAGCACACACTGAATATGAAATGTTTTCCCTGGGTTTTTGAGGATCCACCTTGGAGAACTCCATTACTTTATTAGTTTCAGTCTGCATTTCCCTGATTTCTGGGGTGAGTAGAGGGAATTAAAAATTAACTTTTTCAGTCTATAAATTAAAATGTGATTTGTTGTCCTCCCAGATTTATCTGCTGTACACATGAGATTAGCAATCTCCTGCCTGGCTGTGATTGAAACCATGACTTGTTCCTTCTTAATGCCCTTAGAATTTCTTCTTCCATCATTTCTTCAAAGATTATTTCTCCTTTTATTGCTGCTCTGTGTAATCCTATTTTGGGATGTCTTTTTATCCCCATTTCATACTGCTGGTTAGAACAGCCAAATGTGGGGTGTATAAACTTGCTGTGATTTGAGGCTTTTGACTGGAAATAATTTGAATTTTTAAATGTGAAGCTGTGGTAATTATTTACCGATAGGTCATAGATAAGTAATTACTGTGTATGGGTTAAATCAAGGTTTAGGCTTGAGAAAATGTTATTTCCATGCTCAGATATTCCAGGTTAGAGATCCTGATCACCTCTTCCTTAATCCCAGGAAAACACAGCACGGAGCTCCCATCCCAGCTACTTCATTGGAGAGCAAAGTGCCTTAAATCTTCTTGATTTATTTTACTAATTCTTCCCTGGTGCTGCTTGTAATCCGAGATTAAAGGGCATTGTTTGCTAATTTCCTTGTTTTAACTATCATGGAAATCTCATTAACTAAAGGAAACATCTCAAATATCTCCAGGGCTTTATTTTTAAACAAATTAATCCCATTTTAAACAAATTCACCCCACCACAGTTCTCTGCTGTCATCAGAAGGCTCCTCCAAGCTGGAGTTTCTCCTGCTTGTTACATCCCAGGTTTGATCTCTTGCTCAGTAAGAAAACCGTGTCTAAAATAAGAAAACCTTGTCTAAAATAAAAAAACCATGTCTAAAATAAGAAAACCGTGTCTAAAATAAGAAAACCTTGTCTAAAATAAGAAAACCGTATCTAAAATAAAAAAACCATGTCTAAAATAAGAAAACCGTGTCTAAAATAAGAAAACCATGTCTAAAATAAGAAAACCTTGTCTAAAATAAGAAAACCCTGCTTTATTTGCACTTTCTGCCTTTCTCTTGGAAAGTGAGGTTTTCCCAAGCCCATCCTTGTGTTCCCAGTGCTGAGATTTGTTACTGGGAGTTGGTTCAGCACGAGTGTGGAGCAGGCACAGCCACAATCAGCCCCTCTCATTCCCCCTGTCCCTGATCT